TTCATAGTGCCTTTTTAATCGCATTTCACTCCCACGGTCCCGTCCCTGTGGGTAGTGTAAACTATTGTGACTATTTGGTCTGGTTCGGCACAATTATTACTATTGTGTGGTTATCATAATTATGACTGATTAGACTATCAGAACATTATCAATGACCATATCAATGTCAGTGGTAGTTTTAATGATTTGCCAATTAATTTATCAATTATTATAATGATAAAATGCTAATGGTGAGGTTGATGATGGCTATGAAATAAATTACTGATTATTTTGATTAGCATCATCAACAAAATAACAACGATAATGACAATAATTACTGTAATTATAAGAACCAGAACTATTATTGCAACAATGACAGGAGTGCAAATGATAATAATAATAAATAGTGATAATAATAACAATTATAATGATAGGTTTTGATAACAATAATAAAATAATAATGATGACAGCAGTAATGATAATAATAAAAATAACAATAATAAAATAATGACAGTAATAATAATAACAACAGCAATAATACCAATATCAATCAAGTAAGATTAACAGTAATAATAATAATGAAACTAATGATAATGATAAAAATAATAAATGTAATGATAATAATAATAATAATAATGATGATATAAATAATAAAGATAGTTCTCGAAGTACCACTGATAAAATAATAACTAACTAAATATTAATGAATATCAATAACGACAATAATTAATTATTAAGATGAAAAGGATAATCAAAATGATAATAATAACCATGATAATGATAAAACAATAATGATGATAATAATAATAAAAATAATACCAACAATCACAAAGATACTAATAGCAATCCTAAGATAATCAAAATAATAATAGCCGACAACAATAAAAAAAATAATAACAATGATGGAATTTATAATCATCATCATCATGATAATATAATAAAGATAATGAAAATGATAATAACAATAATGATAATAATAATTAAGATCCTAATTTTGAGGATAGCAATATTAATAATCATGACAATGGTAATGATAATGATAGCCATATTAACAACAATAACACAAATAATCATAATAAACTAATATCAATCTTTTTTTATAATTTCATTATTCTATTGTCATTCCAATTATCATCATAATCATCGTTATCATTACAATTATCGATATCTCTTCTGTTATTATTATTATCATTAATATAATTATCATTATCATCATTATTATTACTGCCATCATGATTAGCACTGCTACTATTATTCCCATTATCACCATTACTATTTCCGTTATCATCATTTATGTGTAATTATCATCTGTGCCAAGGAGGTTATGTCTGTCGCAATGTTGATAAATTTAAAACGTCAGCAAACATGTTTTTCTTACGTAATTAGCTGACTTTCTTTTATTAATTCTTTATTAGCTGTATCTTGACCTGCACTGACACCTTTGGTGGTATAAATCTCGATTTTTTCAATGTGGCTCATTATATAGCTTAATATAATAATAATAATAATAATAAAATAATATATATAATGTTAGTTAATCTACTCGTCGGTTAGCAGGACAACAAGTGCAATGAACCTATTTTGGTGATGATCCGGGCTTAGGGCTTTTTAAGGATTCATTAGCATTCGGGACAGGGACAAGTTTAACTTTTTGGCGCTTATATATTTATTCTTATTATCAGGATCATTACTGTTATTCTTGCTATCTGTATTATTACTAATAT